AGGAGGCTTTCAATGGAACTTAATCTTATACATAGGCTTAAGATGTGTTGATTGAAACACATATATTCAAACAAATATATTAAAAAAAATCATGAGTTCATGACACGATCACCTTTGGAGTTTTTTAGGGCACTAATTCATTAAAGATTGATAAAGGAATGAATCGCACAATTTCCCCAGCCTTTCCTTAATAGACCTTGTCTCAAGGTACCCAAATAAGTGATGAGGAAATGCTTTCCTTTATATAATTCCAGCTAATAAATGCAGAAGGAATGGCAGAGTTAGAAAACTACTATTTTACAACTCAATATGATAATGGATCCAGCAGTAGTCACTAATAGCTGCTAAAACCATCTGGTGAGAGTTTGATGGGGAACTTGATAACGAAGGCATCAGGTTGACAACGGAACCCAAACTATGATTAATGTTAGCATCACTGAAAGTGGGATAACCAGACATAATATGCCTCAGATGCAATACAATAGGAGGTATATGCAGCATCAACTATGCTTGCAAAAAAACCAAAAAACAAAAAAAAAACCCTGAATCTAATGAAGACTCTGCAGCCATCAGTTAGTTTATAGAACATTTGCAGAATAGGACAGTAAGTCAAACAAAACACACAAAAAGCAATCTGCCAGATCTAGAATGTGGGACAAACTACTAGACAAACAATCACATTTACTCACAAGTAAATGGCATGAAAAGGGGGAGGAGGGCAGTGACTGGTAGAGATTAAAATTGACTTAGGGATGTAACAGTCAAATGCAATGTATAAACCTTATTTAGATCCTGACTCAACCAACTAACAGAAAAAAATTTTGAGACAATAAGGGAAATTTGAATACAGACTATACTAAATAAAAGTATTCAATTTTTAAGTGTGATTATATTGGTGTAGCTTACAGAATGAAAATTTTAAGTGTCCTTATCACTTATAGATGCAGCCTCATTTACCAGTCATATTATATTGCATGTTTGGGATTCTCTCTAAAATATTTCAGCCAAAAAAAATAAAAGGGTGAATAGATAAGGAAAAGTAGGATTAACAAAATGTGCTTAATTGTTGAAGCTGGGTGATGGGTACATGCAGATTCCATTTCTATTAAAAAGAGGGGGAAAAAAAGGGGCTTCCCTGGTGGCGCAGTGGTTGAGAATCTGCCTGCCAATACAGGGGACAGGGGTTAGAGCCCTGGTCTGGGAAGATCCCACATGCCACGGAGCGGCTGGGCCCGTTAGCCACAACTACTGAGCCTGCGCGCCTGGAGCCTGTGCTCCGCAACAAGAGATGCCGTGACAGTGAGAGGCCCGCGCACCGCGACGAAGAGTAGCCCCCCGCTCGCCGCAACTAGAGAAAGCCCTCGCACAGAAACGAAGACACAACACCCCCCCCCACCTCAAAAAAAAGCCTGGAAGACATATCAAAACCCATGTGTACTGTTTTAATACTACCTTGACGCAGAACTCAATTTTACTCCTAGCCTTGAGTTTGGACACCTGGAACGGGTTTTTTATCCCATTATGAGTCTATTGCTGATTCCTACAATCCTCTCATCACAGTCTTCCAAACTGAGTTGAAACTTCTACTTCCATTACTGCACTGGCCCCAAACAAGAGAAGCATCTAGTAATTTTAGAAAGAACACGAGAGGCACCAGTAGAGCTCTGCTAGAGTAGCATTATCTCTTCAATTCTCCCTCCCTGAAAAAAACAAAACAAAAAAAACCCCAAAAAGCAACCGAGGTGTCTTTTTCATTCCTCAAGCAGATTGTAAGATAAGGCTTGTTACTCCTCTATACCTTCCATCATGTCTTAAACATATTAAGCTCTTAATAACTGTCTGCTGACAGATTTTCTGGGTAATGTAAGAGCTATCTGTGCATGTCTTAGAATTAAAAAGCAGAACTTCAAAGGCATCCAGTCACGAAATCTAAATCCAATATTTTAATATGCACTCTCAAAACATGTATTAATATATGTCATCTATAATACTTTAAATACTTCAGCATATGTGTTAAGTTTCTACTTCAACTCTAGGAGTTGCCCTTATTAAGAATGCATCTGAGGGATGGTTAGCTGGCATGCTAACCAGGAAACCCATTCTCAAGGCAGCTACAAATACATCTCTTATCCGTAATTTGATCGGTATCCAATGTTTTGCTAATTAGTATACTAAATGTCAGGGATATTTATTGGGAAATAGTGGCTTGTAGCCTAACATGATACCAAAAAGTTGCTCTTACTGGTGAAATTAAAGTTTCAAGATATGTAGACTGTCTACAAATACATTTCCAACCCTTGTATGGACAGGTTATCAGAATCCTTTCAGGCCTGTAGTTCACAACTTCCTTAAAGATAGTACCTAGGTTTACACCTCTTCCTTTAGGAGGTCTATTGGTTATCTGATGCTGGCCATAAAAGTAACAGAAACCTCTAGAATGTTGCCATGTCTGCCTCAAGAAAAACCCTCTTATAAGGCTGGTTCAAGAATCTAAAAAGATAAAAAGCTGGGACTGCAATGAACTTATCAATTGAACTCTTTTGTGCCTGCTTTGTTAATGAATGTTTCTTTAATAAGTGTCTAAATGTGCAGCAGTATTTAGCCTAAGACATGTTTTCATTATAACCTGGAAATCAGGATGTAAAGGAGTGGCTATCCCAAATCCAATTCAACTTCTGTGGCCACTATCTACCTAAAAGAACCTAAGAGTTAAGCACGACAAAGTTAGCTTGGGTCAATTCACAACAATGGACACACACAAAGCCTTGTTTCTCAAATTTATTTTTAATATTTCACATTAAATGAAATTTAACCATACTCAGTACAGAGCATTACCACAATAGTACACACAAAGAACTTTAAAAATAAAAGACAAAAGAATACAACCTTCAACAAGTTAAATGCCACTTTACTATGTAAACAAAAATAAAACCCTGATGCTAAAAAGATACATATTCAGAGGTAAAATACATATACAAAAACATTTAAACATTAACATAATCCACAACTAGATCACATTCTTTGCAAGAGAGTACAGATATTAGTACTCTACATCTACAAAATTTCAAAATCCTGTTAAAATCAAAACCATCTCTGGTTTATGATACAGCACAATTCATAAGGCAAAAATATAGGCATTATCATCCAGTTCTTTAATTTCACTCGTTTTTAAGGCAAACTTGGAACTTTTTGCTTAGGATTTTAAAATAAATGGGACTTAACACATGATAACTTGACAAAATTAACAATAAATTATCTCTAGTTAAATATGTATAAAATAAAAAGATATGGATAACAATTTTTCTCTCTGCAGAGATGTAAACTGGATTTTTGACTCCATATTCACACCAGGAAGAAAACCTGTAAACCTGCAATATTTAAAATTTATTGTATTCCTCACTCTTCAAATGTGAATCAATACTGAGTCAATATACTGTAAGTGAAAATCTAATAAACATCCAGCCACAGAATAATTGTATCTAATTAAATCATGTCTAACTAAAGTGCTGTCTTACAAAGGAAAAAAAAAGTTTAAGAAGTAGAACTGGAGGTTAACTTGACGTGTGACATCTTTATAAGTTATTAACTTTCAAACTACAGAGGTTATAGAGGTTATCACAAGTTTATTGAACTTTAAGCAGTGTATTTATTGTAGAATCTGATTTTCCTGAAAATGAGCACTTCGGTGACAATACCAGAAATCAAACACCAAAACTGAAAACAAACAGCATTATATTTACATATATTTCCTTCAATGTTAGCCAGAGCCTTGATAACATAATATTATTTTAAGTTTCTATAATTCTGTTTTTCTACTAGAAAATATATTATCCAATTTTAGGAAAGTTGGAGTTCTATAAATATTAGCTTTTAAATAATTCTCTTTCATGTCAATAAAACCTAATTGGACGCTAGAGGACACAAATGTTTATACATAAATTGGATCTCCAATCACTTTTCATGATGTTGGAAATAAGGAATTAGATTCACACTTTACCATAATAGTTATTTGGGTACAGGTCTCCCTTACTATATTTTACTCTTTGGGTGAAAAGACTATATCTTATTTATATTTCTAGCCCCCATAGCATCTAGCACAGTATCCAATATAGTAGACCCTCCATATTTGTCAAGTTATCAAAATAATTTTTCAAAACCTAATGCCAGGGCTTCCCTGGTGGCGCAGTGGTTGGGAGTCCGCCTGCCGATGCGGGGGGCGCGGGTTCGTGCCCCCGTTCGGAAGGATCCCGTGTGCAGCGGAGCGGCTGGGCCCGTGGGCCGTGGCCGCTGGGCCTGCGCGTCCGGAGCCTGTGCTCCGCAACGGGAGAGGCCACAGCAGTGAGAGGCCTGCGTACCGCGAAAAACAAAAAACAAAAACCTAATGCCATTCTCCTATTACTTTGATACCACGTCCTAAAATGTAATATTCATTCATGTTTAAAACAGTATTATCAATAATATATGGAATTTATATAACTATCCTTTGGGTTACATTAAAAATCACTTGAGTTCTATTACTATATTTAACAAATATTAAATAGCCAAACATTTCTAACAGATTAAGTCTTCATAACATAATTATAGAAGGCAATTATCTTCTAAATGATTAAATTAATTTCTATTTCCCACTGTTACTTTTTTCCAAAATAGTTCTGGGCAATCTTAAATAGCTTTCTCCTCCTTGCCTGGGTATATAAAATTATTTCTAAAATCTTTAACCCTGGGAATTTATAATCAAACATTTCGAACCTTGTTAACACTAGAAATGTGGCGTTAAATTCACAATTTGTCAGCAAAGTATTCATGATGAAACTTCTCACAAGCTGAATGAGAAGGCTCTATTGTAAAGTTACCAGCTGTCAGGTCATAATACCTCTGGTTCTTATGCACAATTAAGTAGGTTTAGCAAACCTAAAATAAATATTTCTAAATTTGGGGTTTTTTTTTCTTTTCCTTTCACAGGGTTTCATAATTTGTTCTCTAGTATATTGCTCTTACTACTGCCCAAAATGTTTCATATTTAGTCTTCACTGAGATGAAATTTGGATTCTTCCAAAACAATGATCAACTTATGTCTTTGGTCTAATTTACCAAACGATTATATATTTTATACTAATTTGATAGTGGGGATGATATGTGAGGAAAACATTGTGAAAATAAAATGTATAGTATAGATCTGTTTACAATTAAAATAAATTTCTATAGTCTTTCAAATTCCCTTATCTTCTGGGGAGAGGGGCTTAAAAACAGTGTAATAGGATGTATTTAATAATTAACATTGTTAATGTTATCAAGAATAACAATTCTTTCTGATTGATATAAACAGAAAGAAAATTGAGATGGGGATTTAAAATTAAGTATGTGATGGAATCTATTTTAAATTGCTTTCTTTAAATAAAGTCTAGGCCAATCACAATAGTGCACCTTGTTTCTATTCAACAGATTTATTCAAATCAATTATAAAGTTATTGCTATATATCATTAAGTTATTCAAACAAGCAACATAGAAAATATTCAGACTGTCAATATTATTAGTAGCTCCTGTTGAGTTCTTAATTAGAAAGAGACTAAAAATCACTTGCAAGGTTTTATAATCTGTGCAAATATTTATAAAGCATGAAACTACTTATATGATTAAAGATGAGTTCACACAGTTTTGCAGTATATACTTAAGTCTACAACTGGCAGTTTATGGAAGAACAAGGAAAACTGAAAATTGCCTGGCTATAAATAGTTTTCAAGATATAACATATATGCTAAGAAATGAACCTATGTTTTATAATTACAAATGGCTTCTTAACAATAGTTCTGAACATTATGGCACTTAAGAATGCAATATGAACTTTTTCTTAGGAAACAAATATAGTTTTCTAGAGACTATAAAGAGATAGTGGGAAGTTAAAAAAAAAGAAAAGAGAAAGAAAAAATCAAGGGAAGGAAAACAAAATGACTACAGTACCAAAAATACAAGTACCAACATCCTAATAAAATGCAAAGTAATGTATTCAAGATTAAGAGACATTTACTAAAACATGCAAAACAAAATGAATTAACCAGTTCTTTTAAATAAGCTGTCACCTGGGTAAAGCAAACAATTTTGCTTTAAAAGATCGTTTCTTTAGTCAAAGTGGAACTGAATTTAGAACCATTACTCAAGTAAACATCAAGTTCCAGTTTTCCTCAATAACTTTAAAATATTCAGTTACCTAAGAAATGTACAAAATAATGCTTAACTGCCTAGTGCTTTATATTTAATGCATATATTTCTGTTTTTAAGAAGGGCATATAACATCTAGCACAAGAAGAAAGAAGATAAAATGTATCTTTCTTTAAATCACTATTCAGGAACCATGAAAAGCATAATAGGCCATCTGAATGTTTTTTTGGATGTAAATATTAGTATAAACACTAACATTTTTAATAAGCACAAATGAACCAAGCTGGTAAAAATGAAAAATACTATCAAAACATGTCATGCATATCTCATATTTAACATCCAAAAGAACATTGGTATAGCCTTGTTACAGATCCTACAGTTAGCACCATTTTTATATCTGAATACTTTGAAAAAGCAAACAAAAGTCTTAAAAAAACTAAAATTATTGTAAGCATATATGAAAAAACTCAATGTGCACTAAGAGTGGTACTAAACATTTGTCAAATATTTACATCAACACTGGGAAGCCTGCTGGACTACTAAAAAAAAATTGAAACTGATATGCTTAACTCTTTCTATCCATGCTTAGCATACCATAGATGGGTAACTAAATTCATCCAGCATTAACCTGCCCATATAAAAAAGGCATACACAGTAAGTATCTGATTGCTTAAAATAGGACCCGAAATCATGACAGTAAATGCATTTATCTTGCAAACTTATTACATCCCCAGCCCTAAAGCCATTTAGCAGTAAGAATATCCAGGTGACTCAGTATGGCATGTAATTTACAACTCTTAAAAGTACCAGAAAAAAAAAAAGCAGCCCTTTGTTTAAAATGTGAAGCATATGAATTTATATCCAACAGATAGTATCAGCACTCTGTCTAGTCACTCAGTATACTCCAGCATCTAAGTATCTCTCATCCCGGTAAAAAACGGTGCAGAACAAGGAGGGGGAAGAAAGCTAATTTTTTTTTAAAAAGCAGCAAGGTTTTCTCCACATGTACACTTATGAACATAAAACTATTCTATCCCAGTATTAGGGAAAAAAAGTGCACAATTCAATTGGCAAGATCTTTCCTTTTTTTTTTTTTTCTTGGATTATCGATTCACTGTATAATCAAGAGCAACCAAAGCTACTTGTCAGTTCAAAGTACCCAACAAAACTATGAGTCTTCATGCCATTTCAAGTTAAAAAGGAAGCAATGTAGCTTTTGGGCTTCAGAAAACTGGGCATCCTTTCATGCAGCACAAGGTTCATCACTACGCTATTTCCACAAGTCCACACTTGTCAAAGTGCAGTTAATCCAAAATTGCAGCGACAGTATATCATGCCAGCTGAATCCAGCCATGTATCTGAGATAGGGTCATATTTCTGCACGGTATTCAGATAGGAAGACCCTGAGTGACCACCCACTACATAAAGGTAGTTATCAATTACTGCAGCACCAACTCCTAGGAAAGGTGGGTAAAAATAGGGGAAAAAAATATGTTAACCATGAAGCAGACTTCGCACTAAATTAAATTTGCATTTAAATGTTTTCTTAAAATACATTTCAATAACCTATTATTAATTATACAAGCAATATAGCAATATGTGCTTAGTGGAAAAAAATCCCTTAGTATATGTAAAAGAGCTGAAGTCTTCCTTCATCTCTCCTCAATCCTACTCTCCCTCTCTCCACCACAGTTAATTAAGAATGTAGTATATATCTTCCCATATGCTTTCTTCTCAATTTATATTTATATTTTTCAAAATTCATTAATTTTTGTTTTCAAATGTGTTAAAATTTTATATATAAACTATATAATTTATGCTTAAAAATTTTACTTTATATATATATAGTTCTAAAAAGAACAAGGCTACCCAAATATTTTACATTTTCATTGTTTTATGGTTTTCCTTCTCAATGGTACCACAGAAACTAATTCTAGTAAACAAGCCTTTCAATTTCCTTCGTATGTTTATTTTTCAGGAGTTTCTTTAATCATAAATGCAAGGAATACTCCTAAAGCATTTCCACCAGTAACTTAAAACGTTCCTTTTAAAATAATGTGATTTGAGTTTGGGTTTAAGGATAATTTCCTCAAAGGTGTATTTGTTTTTCTTTATGAAACCTGAAACCCAACTCTTTCTAGATCAACTATAACTATACCCCTTTAGGAGGAGAGAACATTTGAAAGTAATATACAGACTGCTGATGTACAATAAAAAACAAAATAGAACAACCCTAGGATCCTGGGTGTGTGTGCACGTGTGTGTGTAACATATAAAACAATTACATTTGTTACATGGACACAAAGAGCTTCTATAAGATACTTTCTATTATGAGCATTTCTCAAGATGTGTTGTAGAAGTTTAAAAAATAACAATATGCACATTGGCATATTAAAATCACAGTAAAAAAATCTATATAGTTTTGTCTAATCAAGTTGTCAGTCAAGTTTATCACAAGAAAAGTTTTTTCTGGACAAGTAATAATACTCTTACTGTTATATCCCAAGAAACTACTATTTCAAGAACATCACTATAAAAAATATTGTCCTATATGTTTACAAATTGGTATGTTATTATTACCTGTTCTGGGTTCTTTCATTGGTCTACACACAGTCCACTGATTTTGATGAGGGTCATATCTTTCAATGCTTGACAAATGTGAAACACCATTATGTCCACCCACCACAAAAATAAAGCCTAGCATGACACCCACACCAAAGTGAATCCTTTTATCTGCCATAGATGCAACCATCTCCCAGGAGTCCTTACTTGGATCATAACGCTCCACACTGCAAATATTCACAAAAGAAAGAATTAATTCACATATCCTTTGTGTCACTCTTCCTACTAAAGCAACTAAAACCCACCAGAGTTTTAAAAGTGCAAACGGACAGATATAAAACAAGAGTAGTTTGTCCCAAATGTTCAGATTTTGCTGATAAAATCACAGGGATAAAAGCTTACCTTGTAGACTGGTGCAATAATAGCCATACCCTACTCTATTATATTGTACAAGCAGCAAGGTGTATTAAAAGCATGGAGCATCTGAAGTCAGAAAATCTGGGTTCAAGTACTAATATTACATACTTAGACCTATCACTTTGGATTTGTTTCTCCTGGATAAGTCATTTCCTGTAAACATGGGAATAATATAACCTCAAGGATTCATGAATAAAGTCCAATGAGTATGCATGTGAAAGGACTCTGAAAATCACAAACTGAATATAGATGGTTCCTAAAGATACTAAGGATTTTCCACACAGCTAAGGAAAAGGGAAGATGAAGAGAAGGAAAGAAAAGGAATTTTTTTCTTATAGGTGAATTCATGGTGACTAACTGTAAAGCAAACACTATATACTTCATAACAAAAACCGGCTAATCATAATGATTATCGTAATGATTATAATAATCAGAGTAATTTATGAGAATTCACAGATTTAAATAAAGTCTGTATGCCAGAGAATTCTTGGCATTTCCAAGTTGCATTATGGAAATTCAAATCAAATCAGAATTTCCAAATAAGCTTTCCTGGAAAATCCCAGAAGGTCTTTAAGCCTACACTTTCCCTGAAGGGGTGCAAAGGCAAGTTGGTTGAGCTTGTTCTGGTCCTAACCTAACTTCTCAAGAAAGCCTAAAGCATTTGAGAGTAAGTTCAGAATAGGGACTAGACTAGACTAGAAGACTAAACTACAACTATTTCTGAAAGGACACCAGGATAAAAACCGTTAGAGCAAAATCACTAGACAAGAAAAATCCTGTGAAAAACTGTAACAAGAACTCAAACTTCAAAAGCATTATCTCAAAATTAAAGTACTTAACCTTTTATCTTAGAAATTTCTGTTAGCAGCTTTTCAAAAAATAGAAATGCATGTCTGGGTCCCAAATACTTTTCCTTCAACTAAAGGAACAATAAAAAGGGAGAAAAATTTAGCCTACACAGAAATAAAAATTTATAGATGAAATGCTGTTGTGTCATTACTTTCTCAGCCTGTTAACAAACCACCACATACTCTCTTTTATTAAAATGCTCACGATAAATAAAACACATACCACTATTAGAGATATAATACTATTAGAGATAAAATCTTTGGAAGATCGACTTTCAACAAAGGTTCAGAATTATGATTAATTTTCCATATAAGCACTTTATGCTTTTGTTTTTCTTATATATATATTTCTCCTTTATTCAGAGAATACTATAAAATACAGAAATCTCACATTTAAATTTCAGCACAGCTCAGATACATAATGATACATGTATGATTACAGAATAAGAATCCAGAACGGAATATTTAAATAAGGCTTAAAGTTTATGATGTGTTATAATATTGTGTAAGCATATAGAAATTACATTTTCCACTTTTTTATTCTACTAAACAACATAGTAACAGATCATCCATCCATACACACACATACAGACACACACATTTATACATACACACACCACCCCAAATCTAAAGTTATCTAACTTCATCTTATTTTCAGATTTCTGAATTCTAAAATCTAGTCCATTTATATTGAATGAATGAATGTAAAATTTAATAAAAGGGATTTGAGTTTTCGGTTTGTATTAAATCTCCATGTAAACCAATTACAATTATACTTGTGGAGCGGTTAAGTTTCCCAAATGTCTATCAATATTACTTTAAAAATTAAAAAGGGAAGTTCATTCATATACACAAATTGTTTAAAATCCAGAAATCATTGTTAATGATACTTTAAAAAATCTACAAGCATATACAACTTGATTAAGTTAAATACCTGTTCATGTGGGCAGGACCATACCCACCAATGGCATATATCATTCCATCCAACACAGCTGCGGCAAAACAACTTCTTGTTGTAGTCATTGGTGCCACAGGTTGCCACTTTCTTACTTTGGGAATATACTTCTCTACTGATTGTAAATAAGACTGTCCATCATAACCACCTAAAGCATAAAGTTCTCCTGCAAGTACCACTACTCCAAGGGTACTTCGGCTCTCATTCATTCTCTCAAGAGAAGTCCAGGTATTTGTATCAGGATTCCAGCATTCGACTGAATTTTCATGTTTTCTGATAGTGATGCCAGGACGCACGTTAGTTTCAATACCACCTATAACATACACTTTTTGGTCTAAAACGCATATTCCAAATTCATAGCGAGGAATGTTTAGGGGTGCCAAACCAATCCAAGAGTCATTCTGAGGAAAGTACATCTCCACACTAAAGAATAAGCAGAAAAAATTAAATTTAAAACATCAAAATGGCCCATAAACAATATCTGGCAAAACTGAAGATACACGTATGCTCTGATACAGCAATTTCATTCCTGTGTATCTACTCTACTGAATGCCTATTACAGCCAGTTTTGCAAAAGAACACAAATAGAGAAAGGTTTACAGCAGCTCAACACAGTCATCTATCAAAAGGAGAATGGATAAATAAGATGTGGTATACCCACCCCATGACAAAGCAATTCCATTCTTAGATATGCACCCAACAGAAATGCACACATATGTATATGTACAACAGTGTTCGCAGTAGCATTATTTGTAATAGTTGAAAACCGGAAACAATCCAAATTTTTCATCAACCATAAAATGGATAAGTAAATTGTGCATATCATATAAGAAAATACTATACAGCAATGAAAATGAACAAACTACAACTACATGTAACAGCGATGAATCTTACACATATAATGTTGAGGGAAACAAGCCAAATTCAAAAGAATATATTCAGTACAGTTTCATTTCTATCAAGTTCAAAAACACTTCTAATCTCTAGATTAGAAATGAGGGTGGTGGTTACCTTTGGGGAGGACAGGGAGGGACCTTAAGGGTGGTTTCTGGGTGTTGTTCATGTTCTTTTCTTGAAATGGTTTGTAATGTTTGCTTTGTGATAATTCATTGAGCTGTACACTTGGAATTTGTGGACTTTTCTGTATATGTGAAACATTTCAATTAATTTTCAGTCATCATATTCATAGTAGAAAGAAAATGTTGTATTATGTCCATCTACTATAATACCATACGCCAACGAAACTAAATGAATTATTTCCTCATGCAATCTCAATTTCATAAACTTACTGCTCAATGATAAAACACATCTCTGAAGAATATACATGGTACCACTGCATTTACATAAAAATGTGTAAAACCTAACTATATACTGGGGCACATATAATATGTGGTAAAATTATAACAAAAAGCAAGAGAATAATACATTAAAAACTCAGAATACTGGTTACTTCTGGGGGAGAGAAGGAGATGGCATAAAGGAGGGGCACAAGGGAACTTTAAAGCTATTGTTAGCCCAATCTCAACAATACTAGTTTTAGACCACAATTCAAATGTACACTGAGACTTTTTAAAAGATAAAGGACATATCAATTGACATTGATAAAACATCAACAGTTTCCTCCTATTGGAGGAAAGAAATGCAATCTACCCAATGTTTCAAAATATTTTAGAATGTTAAATATTCTAATATTTATTCTAATATTTAGAATATTAAATATTAAAGAAATAAATTAAACATAAAAGTTTTCATAAAGCAATCCCATTTAAGGGAAAAGGAAGGTAACATCCAGCTATATTTTCAATGTATAAAAGTTATTTGTATAACACAACATTGTTAATCAACTATACTCCAATATAAAATAAAAATTAAACAAATAAACAAACAAACAAAAAAAGTTACTTGTAGAATGCTCTAAATCAATGATGGCCATGGGCCAAATTCAGCCCACCAGCTACTTTTGTAAGTACAGTTTTATTGGAACACAGCCATGCTCATTTGTTTATGTATTACCTATGGCTGCTCTTGCACTACAATGGCAGACTTGGGTAGTTACAACAGAGACCATATGACGGCGACAAAATTTAAAATATTTACTATTTGGCTCTTTATAGAAAAAGTCTGACAACTCCTACTCTAAATTATCAGAAAAGAAAGCACTTTTTACTACTGTTGTTAAAAAAATATTTACGCTGAAGAAAATAAATTGCATGTAAAGTCCATGATTTATATCAATATCCTGTTTTTTTTATTTTTTTGGTGGTTACTCTGATTAACTGTATTCATTCAAACATATTCTTGTCCCAGTCTGCTCTCATCACAAATTCCTAGCTCTCCTCTTTAGCATTTTTTGATATAGCTAGCAATAATAAATCCCCTCTGACCTGGTCTGACTCATATAAAGAAAGATGTAAATGATTTCACAAAGGAAAAAAGGGCATAAAATGGAAGAAAAGTTCATGAATAACCAGTATGGATAAAGTTTGTGCACTGGGAGGGAGGAGAGGTGTTTAAAATTGAGAGTGTTGTAGAGAATGGACGACAATGTGATTAAAATAATCAGGTAAGTGATTTAAAAAGAAAACAACAAAAAGAAGCAAATAAACAGGAAAATCAAACTATTTTAAAAATATAATAAATTAGCAAATTTTAAGAGTATAAAATCTATTAGCATCAATCCTTTAAAAGCCTTCTATTTACCTATCCAAACAGGCAAACAGTCCAGATTTTCCTCCTACTGCACAAAGTACTTTGGGAGCACAGCGAGGTCGTGTCATCAAGACTGTCTGATGAGACAGTCTGTGTTCAGGCATAAAGTGGTACTTCAGAGCTTCATTCAAAAGATGTTTACAAGTGCGATCGTCACGAATAAGATGATTTGCTTCATATAATCTAGTGAGAAACTTAACACTCAGCAATGGTAATCGTACACTGTTAAGTAGCTGTGCTAAGTATTTCTGGCGTTCTTGGACGTCATACTTGATCCAAGACTCAAGTGCATAAAAAACAGTCTCTTCAGTAGCTACATTCAAACAGTCATTGGAAACAATTTCATCCAAATCAGCATGCGTAAGCTCAAAAAACTCTTCAGTCTGGCAAACTGCTTCAAAATTCTGGCATATGTATTTAGTGGCTGCCAAATAAAGGTCATGACAACCATATGTCTCTGCAAAGCGAGAAATTCCAATACAATTACCAGGATCAAGTTGGCTTTCAAGAAATGCACAACATTCTTTCAGGACAAGTTTTATCTGGAGTAGGTTTGCTGCTGGAAGGAGAGATTCAACTGTGTCCTGTGAAATAAAAACAGTCCCTGTATAGGCATATTCCACAATGGCCTGGAGAGCAGTTTCATCAATGCACTGAAACTCAACCTCACTGTTCTCTTTTTCAGAAAGGTTTCCAGTAAACATAGCTTTGAAATATGGGCTGATGCTGGCAAGTACCACTTTGTGAGCATGGATTTTAACATCACCTACTCGAAGAATGATGTCACAGAGTTCGTGATGTTGACGAAGAAGATTCAAGCCCTGTAGAAGTTGTTCAGAATGTAAGTGGGTTAAGTTAGCAAGCATGTAGGTCGGGGATGTGTGGTCCATCTACAGAAAAACAAAAAGCATGAATAGTTATTTCAAAATAATCTTGCAAATGATTACTTTTACAGGTAGCACAAAATAACTGAGATTTGTTGTTTATCTGCATGTTTGTTGTTTTTTAAATACTAAATACTAGACAGAGGCTTTTAGAGTTAGAAGGGAAGTTAATAATCATTCAACTCCTTTATTATAGACATTAAGCACACTCCGTGCTTCTGGAAGATGAACAAGATTAAAAATAGAAAAGAAGAAAAGAGACTAGAAAGAAAAGAAGAAGAAAAAGTGAGAGGCAGTAAGGACTGGGGTAGGTTAAATAATTGTTCCCCCAAAAGACATCTGCATCCTAATCCCTGGAAACTTTGAATGGTACTTTTATGGCAAAAAAAAAAAAAAGACTGTGCAGATATGATTAAGGATTTTGAAATGGGAAGATTATCCTGGGTTATCTAGTTGGGCCCTAAGTGCAATCACATGTACCTTGTAAGAAGGCAGAAGGAGATTTGACACAGACAGAAGAAGAGAAGGTAATCTGACCACAGAGAAAGAGTTTGGACTGATGCAGCCACAAACCAATTAACATTGGCAGCCACTAGAAGCTGGAAGAGGCAAGGAACACAGTCTTCCCTAGAACCTCCAGAGGGCACAGAGCCCTGCCAACACCTTAATTTCAGCCCAGTGATAATAATTTCAGACGTTTGGCCTCCATAACTGTGACAGAATAAAGTTCTGTTATTTTAAGCAACTGAGTTTGTGGTAATTTGTTATAGCAGCCATAAGAAATCAACACGTGGATACTTCAGAATGGCTCATAGCAGTTGCTTAGAATAGATGAAAGGAATATAAGACATCTACACAATATGAACTCTTTCCTATCTCATTCATACCTCAAATACAAGTAATGGGGATAATTTTAAAAAGCAGAAAATTTGGTTCCTATTTTAAAAGTATTATCAAATAGACTTAAAAATTCTGAACATTATTAAATAAAATAAATCTTGGTAGGACTGGGAGAGTATAGCACTTCATTCCTATGCATTTTAAAGTGCAAATATACAAATATTAAAACTTTTATCTTCATTAAGAACATCATCATTTCACACTTGTTTCATTTGAATTTTATGTCCATTAACAAATTTTGTTAACATGACCACATTATAGCTGATATCACCAGCCTCCACTTCTGATCTCTCCAACTAATCTTGCACACATCTAACAGAATAATTCTCAATCAGGGTATCGATAAGTCTCAAGAAACTTGTTGGTCTTCCAGTAGGTACTTTATTCCAGAACAGAATATTGGTAAGAAAACAGCAACCAGAAGGTACATGTTTAGATCTGGGTCTGTTCTTTTTACTTACTATAGTGTTGACCTCTTAAACTTGTTTAACTTCTTTTAGCCTCAGTTTAATGGAAAAAGTTAACATCTAGACTGAAAAGAGAAAAATGAACAACAGGAAAGCAAGTAGATATAGCAAATAAGTGACAGGATTAAGAAAGTAGTCCTAGCTACTTTACATCATTAACTTTACCTTACCTTCATTTTCCTTATCTGTAAAGTGAGATCATAATAATACCTGAACTATATATATCTCACAAGGTTTTTGAGGATCAAATTAGATAATGCACAGGAACATATAACAAACTGTAAGAGTTATGAGTACAGGGTACTATGGTGAGGCAACAGAAATGTAACAGTATCAGCGAAGAACAGGGACCTTGGAAATATAATGAGTTTTAGTTCTAACTGGGTCATATACTATTATATGGAATTGGTACATTTCTTAATCTAAGTATTAATTTTTTCATCCATAAAATAAGAATACCTCCCACTTATCTCAGAAGGTTACATGAAAATTGTTCTGTAAAGTTTAAAGTTCCACACAACTTGAAGTGCTATGAATACAGCACTTAAGTCTCATTCTCTTCTCATGATTCCCACTTTCACTATTTCCCATTCTTTCCATAATGACCTTTCATTCCAATAAAGCTCATGTAATTACTACAGCTCTATATAAATATTTTCTTACATTTGCCAGATTTTGCCTATAAACTTTCTCCTCTCCCGTGTTCTTTTCATCCAATTCAAATTTTCAAAGGCTGGTTCAAAATTAACTTCATCTGAAAGTCTATAAACATTTAAGTACTCAATTCCTTTACATGCAATTAATTTAATTATAAGTGCTGTTTTGTGAAACATACCCCTCTCAACTCTCATTTGTCTGATTCAACAAGAAGATGTTATTCAGGATGAAAAGTGAACAAACAGGAAAGGTGAATGATACAGAAAATAAGAGAAGGAAATGAAAAATGACACCTAGCTAAAACAATGAGATGAGAAAGGGAAATACAAGGCACACTGATTGGAAAGGAAGAAACAAAACTGTCTTTGTTGGCAGATGACATGACTGTCTAGGTAGAAAATCCAGAACAATTAAAAAAAAAAAACAAACCCAAGACAGTGGAACTAATAGGCAATTATAGAAAGTTTGCAAGATACAAGGTTAATATACAAAAGTGAATCGATTTTCTATAAACCAGCAACGAACAAGTGGCATTTGAAATTTAAAACATATAACCATTTACATTAACACCTAAAAATTGAAATACTTAGATATAAATCTAACAAAATTAGGTACGAGATCTATATGAGGAAAATTATAAAACTCTAATAAAAGAAATCGAAGAACTAGCTAAATAAATGGAGAGATATTCCATGTTCATGGATAATATGACTCAACATTATCAAGATGTCAGTTCTTCCTGACTTGCACTTCAGATCCAATGCAATCCCAATCAAAATTCCAGCAAGTTATTTTGTGGATGTTGCAAACTGATTCTAAAGTTTTTATGGGGAGGCAAAAGACCCAGAATAGCCAACTCAATATTGAAAAAGAAGAATAAAGTTGAACAACTGACACTACCCAAATTCAAGCATTATTATAAAGCTGTAGTAACCAAGATGGTGCGGTACTGGTGAAAGCACAGACAAACAGACCAATGGAACTGAACAGAGAGTCTAGGAACAGACCCGCATAAATACAGTCAACTGATCTTTAACAAAGCAGGAAAGGTAATACGATGGAGAAAAGATAGTCTTTTCAATAAATGGTGCTGGAATGTAAAGTAATAAATGAATCTAGACACAGACCTTACTTATATCCTTCACAAAAATTAACTCAAAATGGATCACAAACCTAAATGTAAAATGCAAAACCATAAAACACTTAGAAGATAACGCAGGAGTAAATTCTAGATGACCTTGGGTATGGCAATGATTTTTTTTAGATAAGACACCAAAGGTACAATCCACACAAGAAAGAATGATAAGTTGGATGTCTCTATAAAACAAAACAAAACAAAACAAAAAACCACAAAAAAGCTTCTACTTTGGGAAAAACAATGTCAAGAGAATGAGAAGACAAGCCACACACTGGGAGAAAATATCTGCAAAAAACCACAACTGATAAAGAACTGTTATTCAAAATAAACAAAGAAATTTTAAAATTAAACAAGAAAAGTAACAATCTGATTAAAAAATGGAATAAAGACCTTAACAGATATCTCATCAGAGAAGATACAGATGGTAACTAAGCAGATGAAAAGATGTTCAAGATCATGTGTCATGAGGGAACTGCATATTAAAACAACGACATACTACCACACACCTATTAGAATGGTCAAAACCCAGAATACTGAGAACACCAAATGTTGGACAGAATGTAGGGCAAAAGGAACTTTCATTCATGGCCGTGGGAATGCAAAATTGTACAGCCAGTTTGGAAGACACTTTGTTAGCTTCTTATAAAACTAAACATACTCTTACCATACAATCCTGCAATCGCCTTCCTTGGTATTTACCCAAATGAATTGAAAACTTATGTCCACACAAAAACCTGCACATGGATGTTTATTGCAGCTTTACTCTGAAGTGCCAACACTTGGAAGCAACCAATATGTCCTTCAGTAGATGAATGGATAAACTATGGTACAACAAGACCATGAAATATTATTCAGTGCTAAAAGAAATGAGCTGTCAAGCTATGAAAAGACATGGAAAAAATGTCTTATCAAGTAAAAGAAGCCAATCAGAAAAGGCTATATATTGCAAGATTCCAATTATATGACATTCTGGAAAAGGCAAAACTATGGAGACTGTAAAAATATCAACGGTTGCTAGGAGTTAAGGGGGACGGAGGATGCATAGGCAAAGCACCCAGGATCTTTAGGACAGTGAAATTACTCTATATGATATTATAATGGTAGATATGTATCATTATATATTTGTCCTAACCCACAGAATACAGAACACCAAAAGTGAACCTTATGGTAAATTATGGACTTTGGGTGATAATGACATGTCAATATAAGTTCATCAATTGTAACAAATGCACCACCGTGGTGGTGGACGTTGATAATGGGGGAAGGTACACATGTGTTGGGAAAGGGTGTAAATGGGAAACCTCTGTACCTTCCTCTTAATTTTGCTGTGAACCTAAAACTGCTCAAAAAAAATAGTCTTTTAAAAAAGTAAATTAAAAAAAAAGGAGACCTAGCTACCTTATAAGTTCACATCTCTCCCAGGCCAAACAATTATGTTCCAAGATATTTAAAAGAACCTGTGAATGAGATCCCTGAATCATTGCCAGTGCCACAAGACAGGAGACTATTTTCAAAACTAAGAGTGTAATTTCTACTAAAATTCTGGTAAGGTTAATGTTAATTTCAGATAACACTTTAAAACAAAGGATCAAAGGTTTGATAATGTGAATACTTAGAAGAGGATGTAGTGATCTCTAAGACTAGGATGCAAGAGTTAACAAGAAGACGTGTCACAGATTAATCTTTTTTTTTTTCTGATGTATTTAGAAGACTTGCAGATCAGAAAAATATACAATGTTTAACTAGATACTTGTAAAGAATTTTATAATGCTTTTATGATTTTGAGAACAAAACCAAAAAATATAAGCTACTTCAGTTAACTAAATTAGCAAGTGGTTGGACAACCACACCAGAGTATATACTACTTAATGAAATGAGGTCCACCTGGAGGGAGGTTTCTGATGGTATATCATAAGGCCTAGATGAAGATACTGCAGGCAGGCTCTTCAGCTTTGCAGATGATATGAAGCTGCAGAGGACAGCAAATACATCAGCTAACAAAACATGGATCCCAAAAGACCTGACATCTAATAAGAAGAAATTTAAGAGGGATAAATGTTAAGATTCTATAGTGGATTCCAAAACAACTATACAAGTACAGAAAAAGAGAGAAAAGACTCATCTGTAGGATGTGTTTAAAGGGTTTAGGGATTTTAATTTTAGTAATACTTTAGCACACTAATCTTATGGAGGTTTAAGGTGCGTTAATAGAACTATAATATACAGAACTAGAGAGGAGACATTCCACTTGGCTCTGCAAATGTCAGACCACATCTGGAATACAGATTTGGAGTACCATCCTTTAAAAGGGATCTAAACAAAGTAAAAGGCCTGATGAAGAGAAGAAATTCAAGACATCTTATGAGTGTTGAGTCAAAAAAAAAAAAAAAAAAAGGAAATCTGAGAGTTATGTGAAAAACCAAAGGGTGAAAGTTACTCAGTAATAATACAATAATATAGGATTGTTTTGAGGATTAAATGCATTTATGCATATAAAGTGCTTAGAATAGTGCCTATCACTTAGTAAGCTCATGATAAATATCTTATTTATTAATAAGTTATCTTATTACTAGTGATTTTTTTTACATTGTTTGCTTAAGAGGTATTTTGCTTTCTATGTTGTACCATCTCTTACTACTGGGTAAGAAATCTACTTTGTACAAGGTACCATCTTTGTACAAGATGTCAGTGGACATCTTGGACCACACAAAGTATTGAAGAATTGTTGATTCTCAAATCAAGTTAATGAGTTATTGGTTAGATTCATTTTTAGTATAAATAGAAATCATACAGTAATAGATCTTTATACTAATTTTTGTATATCCAAGACTGGTAAATTACCATCAACATGATATAAAAGCATACTACAATATTGATTTGTAAATATACATACACACACATATATATGTACACATGCAACACATAAAAGAACATATGTTTGTGTATATATGACACATATCCAGATATGCAGGATGGTATAATTTTAAGAGACTGGGCTCTGGAATCAGGTTCCTAGGGTTACAATATTGTTTGTACTATTTAATAGCTATGTGACCTTGGGAAAGTGGTCTTAAAGTCTCAGTTTTCTCATCTGTAAAGCACAGACAAAATAGTACACATAGCACTCAATAATCATTAGGTACTATTTATTATTATCATTATCTTCCTTAAGAAGACTCGGTTTTTGCCAGCTAAACCCATGTGACTCCCTTCCACACTCACCAAAAACGGAACAAAGCTTACTTACTGTCAAATGAATAAATACAAACA